GTTGGTTCTTCAGGCAAACCAGTGGTTTGTTGTTGGAATGGCCAAAGAATCTTGTCGAATGGGTCGACCTTGACTCTTGCATTTCTGGTTGGATTTACAGGGTCTACGGTCTTTGTAGGTTTTAGTTGTGGTGTGAGGGTTACTCCCCACAGTTCTGTGATATTTGCTGCAACTGTCTCCATCCATCTGTGATGCCAAGATCTCCCAGAATCATCAAAGAAAAGGTTTCTCTACCTTAAAAAGTTCTGTTTGACCAGTTCACTCAATCAAAAATGGGAGTCAGGAAAAAAAATCCCAGGCCTGTAACCCAGCTCTGCAGTGGCCAGATGCCCACCAGTTCTTGCTTCTGGAATCCTTGTGGTAGACAAGTGGAGTCCATTTTATCCCATATCTAATCTGTCTGGAAACTCATGGACCCAGGAGCTTGCTCTCCCTCCCCCACTGTGATCAGGCATGTTTATTCCTCTGGCTGGGATGCTGTGACACGGTGAGTGGCTTCCCATGTCCTCTGGTGAAAACGAAGCTCGCTGCACACAGAGGGTGCAAGCTGATCCCTTGAGCCCTGGTGACCTGTGTGAGTACGTAGCTCTTAAGCCAGAAGCCAGGACACATGCAACGTCACGTTTGATATCAGTGCTTTCTGAATGGACTGGGGCCTTTGGTCACCATGAGTATGTATAGGGCCCCACTGAGAAAATGGTGATCACATCCGAAGCCCCCACCAACCATACATTTGGGGTCTGTGGTGGTTGCCTGGGAGAGCTGCAGACTCAGAAACTGGACTTCAGGGTCACCGTTGGGTGGCAAACCTCACAGGTGTCAGGTATCACGGACACTCAGTAAACAGCTGGTGGATGATGGTGATGGTGATGTGAGGATGAGACAGATGGTGGTGACATTGGTCTCTCAAAGTCCCTGGGTTAAAGTTTGGAGCTGAATGTTCCAGAGGGGCCACTAACATGTTTTAGCTACATGCATGTTTATAAACACCAGAGGGAAAGGGGATGAGTTGTACTGGAAATTGAGGCCCAGGAAAAAACAACATGCAGTTGAGCCTTGAACAACACGGGTCCTGTGTAATGTGGGGTGCCCACCTTCTGTGCAGTGCAGGCTTATCAATAACAAGGAGTCAATTAACAGATTTTGTAGGTTACGCAGATTATATACTGTAATCGTACAACGAAGAAGCATAAGAAAAGAAAGTGGTATTAAGAAAATCACCAGGAAGGAAAAATACGTTTACAGTCCTGTCTTGTGTGTGTTGAAAAAACCCCACGTTTAAGTGGACCCATGCCGTTCAAATCCGTGTTGCTCAAGGGTCAGCTATAAAAATTATAGGGCCTGTGTTGACCTTATTTCAAGAACCTGCAGACAGGTGTGAGTTCACACTTGACTAGCATATCCCAAGTGCCCACTGGGTGCCAGGCCTCACACTGCCATGGCCGGCCTTGACCTACAGGCCTGTGAGGTCATGGATGTGTGCGCTATTGTGGGCTCAAGCAGGAGACAGAAACCACAGTAGGTCAACCAGGGGACGTTTGACAGAGAGACTTATTCCCTGTGGCCAAACAGTCAGCTCTGAGGAAACTGTCTGGCTTTCTCAAGCTGAGGGAGTTTACCCAGGAAAGGATGGGCACCGGGAAAGGTATGTGGTTCAGCCCACTGGATAGCAGAGACATTTGCTGGTTTGGCCGGGCCGGAGCTGGTCTCGAGTTGCTGGCAAGCAAAGGCCACTCTGTACGGGGGAAGGAGGGCAGATGATCCGCTTCCGGTGGCGAGGGTGTGCAGAGAGAGTCCAGGTGCCTGCTGGGGAGAGGCCTGCAGAGAGCATGGGGGGCGCGGCCCCTGGTTGTTGTGTGGAAAGAGCTGAGGGAAGGGTATCAACAGGGTACAGTCGGATGGACACAGTCTGGGCTCCGCTGCATGTCTACACACACACACACACACACCCGCTGACCTGGGCCAGCAGGAAATCCTCTTCCCTTGGCATCGCCCTCCGCGCCGTCCACCGAGGAAAGAAGCCCCCGCTGCAGGAATCCAGTCCCCGGGCAGGTGATGACAGGGTATGGGGGGACGGGGGAGGGGGAGCTGAGAGTCTGTAAAGTGACAACAGTCGCCCACACCCACCTGCAGGTGCCCACCGCCTGCCCCGGCTGAAGGAACAGCCCCTCCCCCTCTGCAAAGACTGGGCTTAGCCCGAGGCCTCTCACTGCCGGGCCTCCTTGCTGGGGGTGTCCCTGTTTCCATCCTGGGCCTGGAATGCCCTGGGACGGGCAGGGTCACCAGGGAAGTACACAGGTTTCAGCACCCCTGCCCTTGTTGTCTTGGTCTCCTTCAAAAGATCCATTTCTAGAAACTTCAGAGGTCCGAAAGTCTGAGTCTTTGCTGGAATTTGTTGGACTCTGTTAAATTGCTGGTGTGGGGCGGATGCTGAGCTTTTTTATGGCTCAAACCCAGGACTTAAGAAGCCAGCACATACCCTTTCTAGACTGACAGATGGAGGCGCAGAGGAGCCTTTCCCTGAATTGTCTCTCCTTTTCTATCTAGTAGATGACATGTAATCATCTATTACATATCTCATTACAAATGAGACATCATTTTATTTTCCATTCTCAAGTTCACATTGGATTATAGCTAATCTTTCAGTACAAGGGCAACGCTCGAGTATCCTGGAGGCAGAATGCAGAAGACCATTTCCAGGCCACCTTTTCCAGCATGTTCAATCCGTTTTCCTGCTGTCTTTTAACTAGAGCTGTCAGTCGGCTGTGCAGCCCGCCTGCCCACTGGTGCTGCTGACGCTCGCCTCCTTCCGCACTGCCGGGACACGGCTCCCACGTGGGGCCCTCACCCAGGGCCGGGCATGGGGGCCAGCTCGGCCCCAGCCACGAGTCTCCATTCCGGGAGGACCCAGACCTCTAAATTGGGGTACTCCATTCATTCAGAGAAAACTCTCCCCATCTCCAAGCTAGAATTCCAGAGCCTTCCCTCTCCTCGCCACCGAGGTCACTCTTCACCAAGTCCTGGGAAGTCTCCCTTCTCGCGCTCTGAATTAGAGTGCGCAGCCCCATCTCCCGTGAGGCAGGCTACCTCTGGTCACTTCGTTGGAGGTTCGTCCGTGGAGAATGCGTGGCAGGTGCTTACGGCCTGTGGAAGCCATGCTTTCCTGTCTGACCTCGGCTGGGGCCCTCCAGTGTCTGGCTTCCGTGTCTCTCCCCAGCCTTGTTCTCTGTTTACCCCATGGGCCTCGTCTGCTCAGGCCAACGCCACACTAACTGGCCCTCGGAGAGATCAGAATTCCTCGTCAGAGAAGACACCCGCGCTGCCTGCAGGGACAGGAACTCACGGGTCTTTAGGCTGATGCCCCAGATAAGGTCTTGCAGGCAGAGTTTGCAGAGTCCCTACAAAGACCCTACCAGTAACGCCTCTCTGAACGGCTTCTATCCTCCCAATCACACCCCTACGCCGCCCGGCACTCCTCTGCTCACCTTCTGTTCATGTGCATGGGTGCTCTTCTTCACTGGGGACTTGCCCGAGAGTGGCGTGTGTCCCAGGGAAATCCGTGACCTGTGGGATGGCACTGACAGAGACTACTGGGGTTTGGGCCCTGGCAGGGGGAGTCCAGGGGAGGCCTGCAAGGGTGGGGCCAGCATCTTGTCCAACAAATGCCTGGTGACCCCGGATCAGCTGAGGATGGGTCTGGTATATTGCATATGGCAGGTGGCCTGAGCCCCCACATTGCCCACCTGTCAGGCGGGAGGGCCCCCGCTGAGCAGTGAGTGGTCGTCACTGTTCTGGGGCTGCTGACCCGTCACCGAGGTCAGGGCACCATCAGCCCATCACCTTTGGCCCACCTCCCAGGTCTGCTTGGCATGTGGCAGCTGTGCGTGCACTGCCCTCCAGAGCAGCTTCCCAGGGCCGGGGGCGGGAGGGGGGGCCTCGGTGTGGCCACGGTGGGGACTCCCACCAGGCCCAGGAGCTGACTGCGGGCACCCAACCCTCCTACCTCCCTGTGCTGATCCAGAAATCCGCCACAAACAGTGTGACACGCCCCACTTCCTCCTCCTTGGGTCATGCAGTGATTCTTTTACCCCTTCTCGGGAAATAGCTCAAAGCAAACAACAAGCAAATTGGCCTGTTTTTATTTTGGCTTTCTTTAGATGCAGCTAGAATGTTTTTTAAAAAAGACAAAGCCACAGGGGGGTTGTCCAGACTGAAGGGCCTGCCAGCACGTGTCACTTTGGCTTAGCTGAGTGCCCTGTGCCAGGCCAGCCTCAGCCCAGCACCCACGGCAGCACGGCAGGCAGATTCGGCGTGCACATTCACTCCCGTGGAGCACGGCGGCGCCCCGGTGGCCACTGCCCCGGGTCGGCCGGAGGGGGCGAGGGGGCCGGGAGACCGGCCATGACCGTCCCCCGAGCCAGGGCTGGGCCGTGCTCCCACGCGGTCTTCTTCCCCAGCAGGCTCCGGCCTCTGTCTCCTTGAGCGGCAGCAGCATCCGCTTGATCTCTGTTCCCATTCAGCCTGGGGCCAGTCTGAGGGTCACAGTGTCACTGCCTCTCGTGAGAAGAGTCACACCTACGCTGCTCTTAGGGTTTCTGGACCCACGTAGCCTCCCCTGGCCTGGCCCTCGGGGGTCACCATGACTCACAGGGCTCTTTCTGGGACAACTCCTTGCCTCCCGTAGACCTGCCGGAGCCGGTCCTTGTCTTTGTGGGACATCCTGTTCCTTGACAGGTGGCCAGGTCTCCCTCCCCCCCCCCCACCCCCAACCCCCATGCAGGCTTAAAGAGACGGGCCCCCAACCTCCTCCTCGGGCAGAAGCCCCCATTTGGTGATGCTCCCGTGGGCAGCGCCCCAGGCCACCCCCCCTCCCCTGCCATGGGCGCGGTGGGCCTGCTGGGTGCTTCCCGGGCGCATCTCGTTCCCGGCCCGGTAGCGCCCGGTGCGGGCAGGCCGCCGCCTGCTGGGCCCGGACTCAGGCGCCCTGTTCCTCCCTGCAGGGCCTGATGCACTCCAGTGGCCCCGTGGGCCGGCACCGGCAGCTGGTCCTGGTTCTGGAGGGGGAGCTCTACCTCATCCCTTTCGCCCTCCTGAAGGGAAGCTCCTCCAACGAGTACCTGTACGAGCGCTTCGCCCTCATCGCTGTCCCCTCCATCCGCTCCCTCAGCCCACAGTCCAAGGTAAGCCTCACGCTCGCTGCGGGTGCCCGGCTGTGCGGGCCCGGAGGACGGCCTTCCCAGCCAGACTGGGCTGCAGCGGGCAGCGTGTGAGCTCTTCCCAATGTTCACCCTGGAGTTTGCAGGCAGGGAGGCTGCCTTTGGAGTAGATCTGTCCGAAGGTGGGGGGACGGCCCCCCCTCCCCCGACCCTGACTGGTCTTTGCTATCTCCAGAAGCCACAGTCAGTGTCCTTTCTCTTAAAATGTCTTTGCCGTGACATCAGGGCTGTGAGCTCCTCGGGGGACTGGGTCAGGCTCGAGGCCAGGCCGAGTGTCTGAGGAAGCTGGTTTCCCCCGGCGCACGCTGCCCTCACGCTGACCACTGGGCGCCGAGTGTACCCCCGGCAGAGGGGCCCCGGGCAGGGATGGCAGACACGTAAGATTACTGTCAAGTGGAAAAGGGCCCCACAGGCCAATGAAAGAACTGAACACAAAGGAGGTGGCTTTCAAGGGGACAGACAGGAATTTGGGTCTCATTCAGCAAAAGAGCGCGAGTAGAAAGGTCTGTGAAAATCGAGAGGGCGACGGTGGGCCGTCCACAGAATCAGAGGTCTCACCCCACAGCACCCCCTCGGCCTGCCCACCCGATTAGAGAGCCTTCCAGCCAACCCTGATCCTCTCCCCCTTCTCCAGACTCCTTCAGACCCTCATGGGCCCCGACCTGCCAGGCATGCACTTTGAGCACGCCCTCAGCCCCGCAGACCGCCAGGCAGAGCGGGGTCAGACCGGGCTCCTCCCAGTGGGAGAATGTGGCTCATTCAGGAAGCCAAACCCTGGACCCTGGGTGTGGACGGCCCCCACGGGACCTGCCGTGGTCTCTGTTGACTGTGGTCATTGGCATGGTTCAAACCAGGTCAGCGTCTGCCTCACAGGGCTTTGGAAATCTTAGTTTTGACTGTTTTCTGTGGCTGAATGGTAACTTTCTCATGGGACAGAGTCAGTTCAAAGAGAGAAATGATTTTCTCTGAGTTTTTGGCATGTCCGTGGCTGACTTTGACTCCCAGATGCCAAGTGAGCTGGCCTTGTCGGACGCTGTCCCGCGCAAAGTGCCGTTCGCTGCACCTGCTGCCAGAAGCACCCTGGGGGGCAGAGATGGCCCATGTCAAGAACGCTTCATGGTGATGACAGCAGCAAGCTGGCTGGGAGTGGAAGAGCCTCGTCTCTTGACACATGCCCGGCAGGCGCCTCTCATACCCAAGAGTTTCAGGCATCACTACCGTGAAGCCATCAGAAGGTTATTTTGAAATAATTTGATACTTGAGGTTTCCCCAAAAGCATCAAAAGGCCTCGTTGGGGGGAAATCAGAACTTTGCTGGACTTCTCTATGCTGATTTTATAATTCGGTGGTGTTTTTCTTTGGCAGCACATAAAGCAGATGACAAGTATCATCTTTTCAGCACCTAGTGGCTGTACGGGGCTTAGGTTAGCCCTGTCTCTGCTCAGACTGACAAGCTTTTGGTCACCCCTCAGAGCCCTGACTCATCGGGAGTGGGTCGCCCCCCTGTTTGGGGGCCCGTGGGGAGGTCTGTGGGAGTGAGGCGCGTGGGGCAGGCCCAGCACCACCCACCCTCGCCGCGTGCCACAGCGCCCCCCAGGGTTTGACAAACAGGAAGGGCCCTTCCTAAGATCCAGTGCTGCTTTTCCAGAGCTTGGCATAGCAGCTGTGATTCTCAGTAGGACGAGCACCTGGGTGAAAGCGGTGTTGCAAATTCGAGTGAGCGAGGTTATTGGGAGCACAGGTGTAGCCGAGCTGGACCAAGCTCTGTGCTCACCGGAAGCCCGCGGTGCGGCCGGCGTCTGACGGGCGGGGTGGTCTGTCTGTCTTCCCCTCCTAGTCTCACCTGAGGAAGAACCCGCCCACATACTCCAGCTCCACGTCCATGGCGGCTGTTGTGGGCAACCCCAAGCTCCCGTCGGCGGTGATGGACAGGTGGCTGTGGGGGCCCATGCCGTCGGCCGAGGAGGAAGCGTACATGGTGTCAGAGCTGCTGGGCTGCCAGCCCCTGGTGGGCAGCGTGGCCACCAAAGAACGGGTCATGAGTGCCCTGACCCAGGCCGAGTGCGTCCACTTTGCCACCCACATCTCTTGGAAACTGTCGGCCTTGGTCCTCACTCCCAGCGCCGACGGCAACCCTGCCGGCAGCAAGAGCTCCTTTGGCCACCCCTACACGATCCCCGAGTCCCTGCGGGTGCAGGACGACGCCAGCGACGGGGAGAGCATCTCGGACTGCCCGCCCCTGCAGGAGCTGCTGCTCACGGCCGCCGACGTCCTGGACCTGCGGCTTCCCGTGAAGCTGGTGGTCCTCGGCTCCTCGCAGGAGTCCAACAGCAAGGTCACGGCTGACGGCGTCATCGCACTGACCCGGGCCTTCCTGGCTGCCGGCGCACAGTGTGTTCTCGTATCTCTGTGGCCTGTGCCCGTGGCCGCTTCCAAGATGTTTCTCCACGCCTTCTACTCATCCCTGCTCAATGGCCTGAAAGCCAGCGCCGCCCTAGGGGAGGCCATGAAGGTGGTGCAGAGCAGCAAGGCCTTCTCACACCCCTCCAACTGGGCAGGTAGGAGCGCGCACCGCTGGCCGGCGCCTGTCGGGCCCCCAGGGCTCGGTCCTCATGGCCTCCCGGGTGGGGGTGGGGAGGGGAGGCCAGGCCGCCGCAGGGAGGCGGTGTGGGGTGGAGCAGGGGGAGGCTCGTTTGCCGAGACTCTTGCCTTCTGCCAAACCGGCCACTTGTCGCTGTGGTGTTAGTCTTTTTTTTTTTTTTTAAGATTTTATTTATTTATTTGAGAGAGAGAGCGTGAGCAGGGAGGGGCAGAGGGAGAGGGAGAAAGAATCCCAAGCAGACGCACCGCTGAGTGCAGAGCCCGACGCAGGACTCGATCTCACCACCCTGAGATCACGTCCTGAGCTGAGATCAAGAGTCAGACACTCAACCGACTGCACCACCCAGGCACCCCTAAAGTAGTCTTTTTGACTAAGGAGCAGCAGAACAGCCTGCCATCGGGGTAGGAGTGGAGACTTCTGCGACTAGAGTATGCTGGTTGACCCATTTTGTGGCGCCCTCACGGGAAATCCCAGGACAGTAGCAAAGAGCCATGTGGTAGAAAGTCCCTAGGTTTGGTCATCAGAACACTTGGGCTTGACCTAGTTCCATATCCGGGCTCTGTGAGCTGAGCAGGTTACTTGCCCTTCCTAAAGCTCGGCAACCTCACGGGTCACAAGGGGCTGATAACTCCTTGTCCGTGTCTGAGACGGTCTGGAGGAGCGGGTTCCATGTCTGGTGACACGTGTACTACACATTCTGGAGGGTTGACACCGCCTGCTCTGAGTGGGCCTGCCACAGGGGCTCGCAGGTCTGGCAGTGAAGGCGGAATGTTCTCTGTGACCTCTGGTCATGGAGGTGGGGCAAGGGATGACCTGTGGGGCCTCCGGACAGGCCGCCAACCCACAGAGTGCAGCGCCCCCGCCCTTACCCTTCCTCTCAAAATAAATGCGGTCGGCAGGTGCCGCTAGAGCCGCTGCCATTTCCCCCTGAGGCGGGGCCTTCTCCCCCCCCCCCCCCCCCCCGGGCGCCGCCTGCCCCATGCGGGAGCCGCCTTGTTAGGAAATGGAAACATCTGTTTGCATCACAAACGTGGCACAGCTGCAGTGTTTGCCGCAGAGGTAGTCAATGGAAACCGAGCGGAACCCATCCCGTCTCCCCAGGTGGCTGACAGCGCCCGTGGGCGCGCGGCCGTTCGCTGAGGGCTGGGGCCTGGCCACGTCGCCGACCCGCTCCCTCTGCCACGAGCTGCAGCAGTCGGAGCGGCGGCTTCGTGCCCGCCGGCAGCACGTGAGCTCTGCTTTCTGTGTGCCCCCGTCTGTGGGAGCCTGGCCCCGGAGCTTGGTGCTCATTCCCGACAGGACCCCTGCCCCTGTCTGTGGGGCCCGCTCCCCGTCTTCCCAACGTGTTCAGGGATGTGGTGCTTTTGTCCTTGTTTTAGCGACAGGCAACATACGAGTCATGGCTTAGTGCTGCTGGAGATGGTGTTTAAGTCGTGCTGCCCCGCTCGCCTTAAAAGCAGCCTAGGCTCACTCATGCTCTTGGAAAACCCCTTGTGTCCATTATTTGGGGGCAGGGTGCTTCCAAAGTTGCTTGGTGGCTTGAGGAGACTGCTGTCTGCCGCCCCCCAGCGCTGCCTTCAGGGGCGGGCCAGGATCCGGGCAGATGGGTGGGTCGCCCGCAGCCCAGGCTGCTTGCCCGTCCCCACAACCAGAGAGGAGCGCGCCCTCCTGCCCCGCGTCCACGGGCTCTGTCCCCGGGCATGTTCCAGACAGACATAGATGCGTCTCCGGGGAAACAGGGCGGATCATTCCTTGGGATGGTGGCCAAGCCTGGGAAGGATACCAGAGGAGCCGGGGGGGGGGGGGGGGGGGGGGGGGGTACTTTCCCGAGCTACTTCTCCGAAGAACCATGCTCACCACTCACGGGCTGTGAAACGGCATTGATTCTTAAAGGGGAGGGGACAGAAGGGCATGGGCGGGTCCCCCAGGGAGGGAGACCTCCCGCAGGCCGTTCCGGGGAGCAGCTTTGCTGTGCAGACCCCTCTTGGGGGCAGGGTAGCCGGGAGGCCACAGGGAGTTGGGCGGGGGGGACCAGCCAGAGCTGCCCTGTCAAGGTGAGGGCAGGCTCCGAGATGCCCTTCTGTGTTCTCCGCAGGGCTCATGCTCATCGGCAGTGACGTGAAGCTGAACAGTCCCTCGTCGCTCATCGGCCAGGCCCTCACGGAGATCCTGCAGCACCCGGAGCGTGCCCGCGACGCCCTGCGAGTGCTGCTGCACCTGGTGAGCGGGGCCCGCTGCCCTCGAAAGCCGCTGCAGGTGCCCGAGAGGGGGAGGCTCCGGCGGGCATGAGCAGGTGCAGGGGACGCCGTGCCCGCACGTCCACAGGTGGAGCTGGGCATGCAAGCCGTGCGGACGACGTGTGTCATGGGCCTGGCTGCGGCCTCCTGGCCAAGGTCCTGGGGCCCACACTGCCACTGTTTCTGGGCCATGAAGCTTTGGGCAAGTCACCTGGCTCTCTGAGCTTCAGTCTCCTCCTCTGGAAGGGGGGATAAAACTTCTACTTTTTCCAGGTTATCGTGAGGCTCAGAGAAGAGGCGGGAGTAGCTGGCACTCAGGAGGGTCTTAGGGGCTGAGGAAGGATATTTTAAAGTCAGATGGCACCGGGCTTCCCCTAACTTCGGTTGGAGCAAGAGTCCAAAGCTGATCTGGTATTTGGCCAGTCCCAGCCTTGGCGGGGCCGGGGGCGAGGGTACAGACAGAGGCTCCACATCCACACGTCAGAAGTTACAAATCAAGCCAAGCAGCAGGGACGGAAAACGTGTTGCACCCTTCCACTTTGATAACCGGGAAGGTAGTTTCTAACAACTGAGGAGCGTTAGCCTCCGTGGAGTGTTCTGCACAAGGCAGACCAGCCCAGCCCCAGACCAGGGTCCACGCGGCGGACAGTCCACGCCGGGTCCGCACTCCTTCCAGACCCGATGCAAACAGCTGCCCTGCCCCAGAGGACGTGTCCGAGCTCCAGAGGGAGGACGTGGGGATGAGTTCCACACAGACCCTGGGCGCTGGCGGGAGGCCCTGGCTGGGCGGTTTTGTTTGGGGGCCGGGTTCCAGGGGGCACGTCCCCTCCGCGGGGCAAACTTGCTGCCCCCCTGGGCCTGGGGCTCCATGCACTCCTGGTGGTAGGTCAGTCCTGTGCATCTCCTAAGCTTGGGGTTCTGCCTGAAACCAGCGTGTGACCGGGTAAGAATGATGGCGCCTGTCACCAGACGTGAGGTGGCCTACGGCACCTGCTCTGGGGTAGCCATGCTCACGCGCCTTGAGAAGCTGCCAAGACACTTAACTGATTTTAACCTGTGCCTGGAAACTGCACAGAGCCATTCAGCTACTCAGTATTAGGACCCTTTCTGGTCCCTGTCACCCCCGAGTCCCCTCCTTCCTGGCTGCAGCTCCCAGGCGGCTTTTCTTAGAAAAGACCAGGCCTGTGGGGCAAGAGCCTCCTTCTAACTGCCTTGGGACCCCTTGACCCCAATGGGCAGTGCGTCTCCGAGGACCTTCAGCCCGATGGCGAGCCACCTGGCAGGTTGTCCTTCCCAGGACCACTCGTTTCCTCCCGCCTGGGAGGTCAGCCCCCAGCATCCCAGGTTGCACTGTAAGAGAAGCCTCAGGTGACACCCCGATGACTCTTCTGCCCCTCTAGTGACGGCCCATGCGCCCCAGGGCATGTGGCCTCTCAGGACGGCCTGAGATAGCCCCCAGAGAGAGAAGCCACGGGGAAGGCCTGAGGCCGCCGGAAGTGCTATGGAATGATCACGGGGGAGTTAACTTGGTGGTTCCTTGGACAAATTCAGCCCACGGGTGCCAGGCACAGGTTTAGGCACTGGCAGGTGGGAGGGGTACCTGAGGTGGAGGGGGAGGCGAAGGTTCCAGAGGCCATTCTGTGGCATGGAGGGTGAGTCAGGGGCCCCGGGAAGAAGGGCACTGCCGGCCCTAGCCCTGGGATGGGTACTGCCCGTGTACGTGAGAGCTGCAGGCCGCGAAGGGGGTTCTGGAGGGCCTGAAGGTTTATCCTACTGATGGGGAGCCATCCCGTGGTTTGGGGCAGGCTCTGGCCTGACAGTAGGTCTTAGTGTCTGAGGAGGAAAGCCTGGGGCAGGAGGCGTGGGCTAGGGAAGGGCCAGAACGCTTCTGAGTCTCCCAGCCTCGCAGGTGCTGGGACAGTGACAGTCTTTCTCCCGGTCCCCTCCCTCGCGAGCTGGGCCGTTGCTCCAGGGTCCTGGTCCTCAGGCTGGGGCGCCCAGGTGGCAGCCCTGGCTTCACACCCAGGGCTACGCGTGTCCCCAGAGCCGCTGGGAGAGAAACCAGGGCCCGCCGCTGACCAGAGTGGCGCCTCACTGCCCCCCTCCCTTCCAGGTGGAGAAGTCCCTGCAGCGCATCCAGAACGGGCAGCGCAACGCCATGTACACGTCCCAGCAGAGCGTGGAGAACAAAGTGGGCGGCATCCCCGGCTGGCAGGCCCTGCTCACTGCTGTGGGCTTCCGGCTGGACCCCCCAGCCAGCGGCCTGCCGGCAGCCGTCTTCTTCCCGACCTCCGACCCCGGCGACCGGCTCCAGCAGTGCAGTAGCACCATCCAGTCCCTGCTGGGTGAGCGCCAGGCAGGGCCGCCGAGGGGCTGGCCGGCAGCGTGGGCACGCTGGTTGGTGGCCGTGGTCCCTGCGGCCCCGGCGGCGGGGGAGGGGGGCTGGATCTCACAGTGGGGAAGGAGCGAGGAGTCGCAGACACAGGCCTCTCCTACCTGGAGGAGATCCGAAGCAGCAGGACCTGCCTCCTCCTGGGCTGCCACGGAGGAGTGCTGGGCACACGGCTGTGCCTTCGCGCACAGTCGGCAACTCCGGATCTGCCAGAGCCGCGGGGCCGAACCCGGGGGCAGGCAGGCTGCGGGCGCGCACGGCTGCCTTCTGTGCTTTGCTCCGAGGAGGCGATGCGGCCTGGGCCTGAGCTCGGCTCCTGGGGATGGGACCACACGCCTGCAGGACTGGCCTTTCTCTGGGACCCCTCCTTTCTCAAGTTACACGGAGACCCACATGCCACCGATGTGGACTGTCTCAGGCTCTTCTCCTGGGGAGGCAGCAGGGCTGTGGGTGCGGGGGCCCCTCTGGGTGACGCTCGCCTTCTTCTTGGCTTAGGTCTGCCCAACCCTGCCCTCCAAGCCCTCTGCAAGCTCATCACTGCCTCGGAGACGGGAGAGCAGCTCATCAGCCGGGTGAGTTGAGCCAGGGCGGCTGAGCCCAGGCCTGAGCACTGGGCTGAGCTGGAGAGGCAGGGTGATCTGGCCCTACCCAGGAATCTGCAAGTGACACGCTCTTGTTGCCTTTTTCAGCCTCTGTGACTAGATGGGAAAGACGAGGGCTGGGGGCGAAACAGCACCCTCCCCAACACGTGCATGTCCAGGGGCAAGAACCCATCCGCTCTGGGCACTGGGTTCTGGGAGCAGTAGGGCCTTTGGCGGCCTCTGTCGCCTGCAGTCTCAGGGCCTTTCCTGAGCTCTCCATTCAGTGGCTTCCTGCGCCTTGTCATGCCCGCCCCAGCACCTTTTTCCGCTGACTGACAAGTGTTAGAGCCACACTCCCTCAGCCAGCAGGGGTGGGCCCTGCCAGCTCCCCTTCAGGGCTCCTGACGCTCATGCCCAGCTCAGAGGATGACCCTGCCTGAAACAGAGTAGCCACTGAGGCACAGCAGTGAACACAAAGTCAGTTCTAATGCAAGATACTGCTTAGCAGGTTTCTCAAAACATGCTTTCGTTTAAGGGAATGTAGATCCACTTCAGGAATCCAGAGGATTCTCTCAGCATCATGCAGGCCCTTCCCAGCTTGACCTCAGAGCTCCCGATCTTCCTACTGGCCAGTGAGGGTCTGGAACAAGGGGAGGGAGGGACACTGTAAACCCTGGGGTGACTGCTGGGTGGGGGAGGGCTCCTGGCTGGTATAGCAACCCTGAGGAGCACGAACCAATTCTCTCTGGTCGTCTCATAGTGTAATAACTTGAAAAAACAATACACCTCATTATTATGGATCAGATTTCATTGTAAATGGAAATATTTCTGTGGGGAAACAAAGCTTGCTCTGTCTGGGATTAGCCTCTGAAAATCCGAGTGGTGCTTGGAACCTCCCACCTACCCAGGGTGGTTTCCAGCCCAGATTTGGAACATAGCCCAATGACCTGGCCCCTTCTTGAGTTCCTGCTCATCTGGCAATGAGCATGTTATGTCTCCTTGTTGAAGAGAATCAGGAAGGCCCTTCCAGAACATGGCCTATCAAGATATCCTGAACCCAGGAGGGCTGGAAGCCTGCACTCTACAAAAAGAAGACGTTAGAATTACATTTGCAGAGCAAGGCTGAGTCCGAAAAGCCAGCTGCTTAATTTCTTGCATTTGGCGGCATTCACAGGGCCTTTCTGCCTACTCTCCCGCCGCCGGGCTGCAGGCAGATGTCCGCAGGCAGATGTCCCGGCTGCGCCGCCCCCCTCCCCCCCACCCCGGGGCCGACAGGTGCTGGGCTATTTCTCGAATCACTCTGGAACCGTGGCCCTCAGTGTCTAGAGTGGCCTCTCCGTGCCCTCTGTGCCCCCTGCCTGCCCCGCCTCTCTCCTGGCAAGGGAGGGAGGGCCTGGCTGCCCCTGAGCGCGTCTGGCCTGGTGTGGCTGTTTCTCCTGCGTGTCCCTGCTGATTCTTGCTCCTCTCCCCTCCCAGTCGGAGCCGCCGCGGCACTTCCTACAGCAGTCGTCAGCTCGTGTGCATAACAACCTGTGCTTGAGTCTAAACTCTCTTCTCTCTCTCTCTTTTTCTTTCTTTTCTTATAATCTGCTGGCCGAAGGCTGTTAAAAATATGGTTGGAATGGTGAGTACGACTTTAAGTAGCAACTGTTGTCAGGTGAGCCCCTCAACCCGCCCACCCCCTGCGTCCCCTGCCATGCTCTGAGCTCGGGTGCACGCGCCCCCCACGCGCTCCGGGCCGCCTGTGCGGCCGGCTGCCCCCTTCCTCTGCTCTGCCTCCCCCTTTCCTGCTCCACCCTTCTTGTGTTCTCAATTTGACCTCTCAAGTTCCACCAGAACAGCAGGGGCAGAAGTGACTTTGAGAGAGTGACACTGAGAACCACCACACAGGGCTCCTGAATAGACCCAGGGGACCCGACGCGCCCCAGTCCCTCGAAGGAGGTGTGTGGGTTCCTCCCCGAGCACTGCGGCTCAGGGACGGGACGCCGGGCTCCTCTGCACCATGTAACTCAAGAGCATCGAGGGGACTCAGAGAAAAAAAGAGGGAGACAACCGGTCCTACAGCCCACCCCTCTTCTGGTCCCCGAGCCCCGCCGCCGGTGTGCGCCAGGGGAGAGGCGAGGCCGCCACTGCCCTATGACACTCCCCCGCCCCCCCCTCCCCGAGCCTCCCGAGAGGAGACACGACAGCGGGCCTGACGCACCGTAAAAGGGATTTGCAGTGCGATACACATTAAGGTCACTAGGGATGCCGGTAGCAGGTGACACAGGAGTAACGCGGGGACACATCCTAGGCGGGCCGGAGGGAAGGCGGTGCCGGGAAGGCGGCGCGCTCACACTGTTCTCCTCGCTCAGCTCCACCAGGTGCTGGTCCAGCTGCAGGCCGGCGAGAAGGAGCAGGACTTCGCCTCGGCCCCCATCCAGGTCTCCATCAGCGTGCAGCTGTGGCGCCTCCCGGGCTGCCATGAATTCCTGGCGGCTCTAGGTAGGGCAGAGCATCCTTAGCTGCTTCCTGCAGTTCCCTTTTGGAAAACTCCGTCTCTTCTGGTTTCTGTTGGGTGAAGCTGGTAGAGTCTCAGGGGCCTCGGTGTTTTCTTAGATATCACGGAGAGATGGTGGACTTGGAGATCCCAGCACTTTAGCACACTTGGCGGATGGCCCTCCTGCCTTGTTCCATTTCCCAACATTTTGGTTTCATCTCTCTCATTTCTAGTCCTCATCTTGATAGAAAGCTGCTAGATGTCAGCATTGTTGGGAGTCAAGCCATGATTAAAAGCTAAAGAAAACAAAGTCCTAAAATAAGTTTCAAGGTCAGTCTCTACGGTACTATTGAAACCAGGTCTGATTGAAACCAGGGATCTAGAACTGCACGCACCAGGATCCTTGTTCATCCGGGACACTTACTTTTCCTTTTTTGACATCGTAATGTGGCTGAGGCAGCTCCTGGCATAATTGCTGTTTTCAGAGATGCATTTTTTGATAAAATACCACAAGGGGCTGTGAGCTGCCCTCCTGTCCCACTTAAGTGCCGGTACGACTCGCCTGGGAGCCATTCACCACTTCCCAAGCTTTTCTCTGAACACCTGTTATGCGTCGGGCATTGTGCCAGGACGGGGGATGCAGCACCGAGCAAAGGACAAGCCCTGCCCTCTTAAGAGTTTTCGGGTCTAGTGGGGAAGATGGGCAGACCTAGTAAGTACCTAATCTAAGGGGCGGGAGCCTCTCAGGTGGGGGTACCATCATAGAGAGGAGCATCGGTGTCACGGTGATTGCTGGAGGGGTGGGAGGCAGGGAGCTTGGGGCAGACCCGGAGAGCCTGAGGGTGTCTTCAGGAGGAAAGATCCAGGCCGAGGGAAGAGCTCTCTGTGAGCACAGGTGTCAGGCCCACACGCTGTGCAGGGCACAGGGGCAGAGGAGGGGCAAATCCTGTAGGTTCTTAAACTCAGGGAGTGGGAACTCTTTGGAGGATGACACAGCCTAAATTCACTGTTACAGGGACCAGTCACTGTCCAACATGGCAGGGCAGCCAGTCCTTCAAAAGGAATTTTCTTCTGCTTGTGAAATCTGGATTTCATTGCATTAGGCCTTTCTTCTAACCCATTTGCAGATGACCTTTCCCAGCCCACCGCAACTTAGGGCCGGCTCTTTTTGCTTTTGATGGGGGATCCCCCAAAGCCCCACAGGGACTCTGAATTGCTCTAAGTAGATATTCTCACATCCTTTTATGATTTGTACTCTGTGCTTGTTTCTGTGGGCTTAAAGCGTAGTCTTGGCATAAACACAGTACATTTATATCTAGACAAATGTAGCCATTGGACCAAGAGTGAGAAAGGCCAGGTCCACACCCAGGAGGGATCTCTTTTCCCTTCCAGAACAGGCTGTACGGCTGGCCTTGGGGCAGTGACACAGGATACAGGTGAGGGAAGACGGAGCCAAGGCCTTTTTTTTTTTTTTTTTTTATAAAAGAAAAGCTGTGTTCCTCACGCAGGGCCTACACCTCCCTTCGGTGTGGGTGCGACAGAGGCAGCCCCCCTCGCCTGTGAACTGGATATTTCCAGGTGTGTCATTGGCTCTCCCCAGTGTTGGGATGGTGGGTTATTTTCACTGATGGCCTCCATGTTTTCCAAATCCACTGATACTCAAGGGGTGAGTCAGTGTGCACATACTTATCCTTAAGTCCCGTGGCCTGAGACTGGGGGGCGGGAGGAAAGGTCTCTGCAGGCCCGGCGTTTGGAGGAGTGACTCCCTCACTCTTGAGGGCTCTGAGGCTCCTAGAAGTGCCCTCTTTCCAGCCCTCAGCACCTGGCAGGAGCCATCACAACCCGTCACCTCCGTTCTGTTGGCATAACCGAGTCTCATTTTGGTAAAAGGAGAGGTCTCTAACTAAACCATTTATATTAATTAGTTGTTTTTAAATGCTGAGTTCTCCGAGACCTTCCTCTTGCTTTCAGGGAGTGTTTCTGCTTGAGTTCAGAGGGGAAAATATCCCATAGCAACCGGAAGGCTGAGGCGGCTTGTGGAGTGAACCAAATTCCCAGAGAAATGACAGCCTCAGACCCATACCAGAATCCCTGCATGAGAATAAAAATAGACACACATTTCTGCTTTGGTGATGACTCTGTCAGGAACCGCACCGCACGTGGCACATGGCGGCGTTGGGCGTCACAGACCCTGTCACCGGAGCGCACATGGGAGGGGGGAGGGGGCCCCCCCCCCCCCCCCCCCCCCGGCCCGTCAGCACCAAGCGCCTCCACTGTTCCAGGCGGAGCTCAGTGCGACCGGAGGAGGCTGAGTGCACACGTGCAGGGCTGAGGGCTCCTCTGGCCCTAAATCCCGGCTGTGGACACAGCCCTTGGCCTTGGTGTCCGCCTTCGGCGGCTTCCGCCTGTGAGCTTCCCAGGGCGATGGGTGCCAGGCGCTCTGCAGGCTCTTAGTCTCAGTGCAGCGGCAGCCGGCGGGCCGGCCTTCTGCGCTCCAGACCCCTGCCCTCCGCGGGCCCGGCCCGAGTCTCAGCGGAACCGTGAGTGCTCGCACGGCCTGCGCACGCAGCTCAGCCGAGAGGCCCGGTTCCCCGTGGGCAGAGCCTGCTCGTTTCTGAGCCCCCGGTGGCAGACGCTGACCGTGTCTGGGGACACCGTCCGTGCCCTTGAGAAGCTTCCACCTTCCCAGGCACCAGCTTTAAATGTCGGATCCCGTGCTGAGGGGAGTGGCCAGTTTTTGTCCTTCCCAGAGTCTGGGAAGGAATGGAGAAAGCAGCTCATCCTCCCGAGCCCCGCACCGTGAGCACGCGCTGCGGAGAACAGAGTTCAGGGCAGGAAAGCAGCTGGTGCTCCGGGAAGGGGGCAGGAGGTTCACAGGCCCCCGGGGCAGCCCGGGCGGGGCGCGGGGGTTCCCGGGAGGGGCAGGCAGCCCTGCGGCGCTCCTCCTCTCCAGGACATGGACCCTTCCCCGTGGCCGCCGAGATTCACAGTCTTTGTTCCTCTAGGGTTCGATCTCTGTGAAGTGGGTCAGGAGGAAGTCATCCTGAAAACCGGCAAACAGGCCAATCGGCGAACCATGCACTTTGCCCTGCAGTCTCTGCTCGCGCTCTTCGGTAAGCACCCCCTGGCACACCCCCACGCGACAGCCGCCGGCACAGGTGTGGCTGTATTTGGGGAAGGGGGAGAAAAGCGGAGAAGTATTTTGTGTGGCTGTGTTCAGGACAGTGCAAGAGCAGTGAACAAAAACCCCCGCTCTGGCGACCTCACGACACATGCGGTAGAGACGGGCTGCTGCCAAGGGCTGTGAAGACCCGCGGGGGAAGGGACGGGGGAAGGGACGAGACAGGGTGGCAGCGGGCCAACGAACTAGGGAGGAGCGGTGCCCTGTGGCTCAGGCCACAGGCAGTTTTCAGGGCGCCGGGGGCACGGCCGGCTGCTGCATGAGGACAGCGCGGGCCACGGTTCGAAGGCAGAACTCACGCGATCCGCTGAAGGCTGTGAGTCAGACACAAAGGGCGGGTCAAAGGTGATACCTCGTTTTTCGGAACAAAGGCCAGAACGGGACTGCCTTTTGCTGAGACCTTGAAAGTGGCAGGAGGTGGGGGTTTGAGTTCCATCTTGGACATGTTCCGTTCTGAACTCTGCATCAGACAAGCTCCCCCGACAGCTGGGTACTTGAGGCCGAGGTTCAGGGAGAGGCCAGCGCAGAGTCGGAGAAGGGGTGCAGGCCCCGCAGGGGAGGGCGGTGTCCTGTGGGGGGGTCACGGCTCACAGGTCACAGGGGTGAGCAGGGCCGGGAAGGCATGGTCAGCGGGGCCCGGGGGGGCCGACTGCAGACCTGAGCAGCGAACACTGGGCTTAGCAGCATAAGTGCCCCGTGAGGTCTGGGGAGGGCAGAGGCCCGGCTGGAGCGGGTTGAGAGAAGGTGGGAGGACAGGCAGTGCAGACAGTGCGTGTAAGTGACGGCCGGGAGCCGCTGAAACAGGGAGGGTGGCGGCTGTGGGTTCAGGCCGGGGTGGGAGCCCGAGGCGGCCCTGGGGTCTGGTGAGATGGGAGCGCGGTAGGGGGCTGGGGCTGGCTGGGCCTGGAGTTCTCCCGAGTGTCCTGGGCCCTGCCTCACATTTACTTTCTCCGGTGCTTGGGGAGCATGAGAGAAATGCGAATCGCGCATGAGTAGCACTTGCACGGTCCCCACTAGCTTCTCTGTGTATGAGGATGCTTGCGACTTTGAAAGAATAAACCATAGAGAATTCTAACCGCCCTCTGGGCACCTATGTTCTGTCTTAGATTCTACTGAGCTCCCCAAGCGCCTCAGCCTCGACAGCTCGTCCTCCCTGGAGTCTCTGGCCTCAGCCCAGTCTGTCTCCAACGCCCTGCCCTTGAGCTACCAGCACCCCCCCTTCTCCCCCACCGGCGCCGACAGCATCGCCTCGGACGCCATCTCCGTGTACAGCCTGAGCTCCATCGCCTCCTCCATGAGCTTTGTCTCCAAGCCCGAGGCTGGGTCGGAAGCCGGGGGTCCCCGCGGCCGGCAGGACTACGAGCGGTCCAAGAACGCCTACCCACAGCGATGCACCCTGCCGCGGGGCCAGCTGTCCCCCCACGCCCGCCCTGCCGGCGGCAAAGACGAGGACGAATACGAGGGCTTTTCCATCATCAGCACGGAGCCTTTGGCGGCCTACCAGGAAAACAGGCCGGCGCGCCTCTCGCCAGATCACAAACAGCCCCGCGCGGGGCCGGCTGCGGGTATTAAAGTGTCGGTAAGCTCCAAGGGGAGCGTCAGCACACCAAATTCTCCAGTTAAAGTGACTCTCATTCCCAGCCCAAACTCGCCCTTCCAGAAGGTGGGAAAGCTGGCCAGTTCGGACACAGGGGAGTCAGACCAGTCTAGCACAGAAACGGACAGTACCGTGAAGTCCCAAGAAGAAAGCAACCCAAAGCTCGATCCGCAGGAGTTGGCGCAGAAGATTCTGGAGGAGACGCAGAGTCATCTCATGGCGGTGGAGCGCCTGCAGAGGGGCGGCGGCCAGGCCGGCAAGAGCAGTAGCCCGGAGGAGGGCGTCCCTGCGCCCCACAGCGCGGCCGTCTTCCGAGCGTCCGAAACCAGCGCGTTCAGCAGGCCGGCCCTCTCCCACCCCAGGAGCCAGCCGTCGCCGGTTCCCGCGAAACCAAAGCCCCCAGCCAGGAGCTCGTCCCTCCCCAAGGTGAGTTCAGGCTACAGCAGCCCCACGGCCTCCGAGGCGTCCGTCAAGGACAGCCCGAGCCAGCACAGCGGCCGCCCGTCGCCCGCCTCCGACTCCCAGACTTCTCTCCCCGACCAGCCTCTCTTCAAACTGAAGTACCCCAGCTCCCCGTACAGCGCCCACATCGCCAAGTCCCCCAGGAACGCGTCCCCAAGCTCGGGCCATCAGTCGCCGGCCGGGAGCGCGCCGTCCCCAGCCCTCTCCTACTCCTCGGCCGGCTCTGCGCGCTCCAGCCCCGCCGACGCCCCCGACGTGGACAGACTGAAGATGGCGGCCATCGACGAGAAGGTGCAGGCCGTCCACAACCTCAAGATGTTCTGGCAGAGCGCGCCCCAGCCTCCCACGGGACCCATGAAAATATTCCGGGGCGCCCCCGGCACAATGACTTCCAAGAGGGACGTGCTCAGTCTGCTCAATCTGTCCCCGCGGCACACCAAGAAGGAGGAAGGCGTGGACAAGCTGGAACTGAAGGAGCTGTCCCTGCAGCCGCCCGGAGAAGCGCCCCAGAAAGCCCCGCCCAACGGCCACTGGCGCACGGAGACCACGGCGCTGGGCGCGCTGCCCCTGCCCGCCGGACCCCCCGCGCCCGCCCGCCCGCTGAGACTGCCTTCTGGAAACGGCTACAAGTTTCTGTCCTCTGGAAGATTTTTTCCTTCCTCCAAATGCTAAAGCATCTTCTGTACCCGCGGACTCAGGGTGCAGCAGCTGCAGGGGGCCTCCCAGCTCGGCTGAGTGCTGTCACCCCACGCAACCGCCAGCCACCTCACGCTGGGCGCACCCTCGGGGCGCGGGCCACCACGCACACGGCCGCTGGCGACTCTGGGCCACGCTCACCGGGAGCCAGGACTTCTGTGGGGTTGGCACGGGAGGCCCAGGCAGTTTTCTACACACTTCACCCAATGTTTACCTTGAACTCCCTGCTTCTCATCTTTGATGCGATTCCTCAACAGGACTTTTGTACAAAAACGGTCACGGTTCTGGGGTGGGGGAGAGGAAAGGGGGAGCACATATTTTGCTAAGAGGTAGATATGCAGTACCTTTTATACACAGAAATACAAATAGAGCATTTTTTTTAAGGCTTTCAGGTGCTGGTTGGGGGTGGGATATATAAAATCTAAGCTGAATTCTACATGAAAGTGTGATATTAGCCAAAAACAGAATGGTTTTTAAAATGCCAGTGATGTGTCCTGAAACTAGCGATTTTGGTCTCCTGATCCACGTCCCAGCACGGTAGCAATGCAATATTTCACGTTTCAGCAGCGCTTCCTTTCTGAACTCGGCTCTGCTCCATCGAGCTCTACAGATGTCCTTGGGGCCCCACTGTCAGCCAAACTTGAATTTTCTTAAAAATTTTATGTAACTCTTCTCCAGGCATTTTAGAACTATGCAATTGTGATTTAAAATGCAACTTTGTGCTTTTAAAACATTACTGACCTTTTTTGTACGTGGATAAACAACTCGGTTTTATTATCAATAGTACTTTGCATTTATAGCTATTATTTTTAAAAGCTCAAATTTTTTAAAATGTCAAATTTTGAATAGTCATCAATAAGTAACTATCAAGTTTGGGGGGGGGGGAAGGTTGAAATACTCAGTTTCCTTGTAAACATAAAAGAAAAAAAAAAATCCCACAGCTAACTCGACTTAACCAGAATGGAACTTACAGCTCCCATTCCCTTTAAGCAGCTGCTTCATTTTATTCTCTTCTCCCAACTCCAGGCCTCAAACAGCTCTCCTCTCCAAATCTGTCCCCGGCTCCCATGCCCCGGCACCCCACGGCTGCAAGCCACTCAGGCACCCTCACCTTTAGCGGGGACCAGCCCCCTCCCTTCCCACAGGACTTTCACGTCCATGGCCTGAGAAGCAGGGGGCTTTTGTGGGGATTGACATCTGAGCTATGGCTGAGCAGGGAAATAGATATTCCTGAAAGTGTTGTCTTGGACACACGGAGGTGGACTTTTCCTTCAGCTGTGACAGTACACAGAAGTTACCAGCTGGGCGGAGACAAAAGGTAGTCTGGGTAGGGGTGAGCATTAACTTATAAAGGAATGAAATGCTAAAAAATCCTATTAGTACTAAGTTTAGTGGGAGAATTTACATAAACTTTTTACATAATTCTAAAATGAAAACCTGACCACTCTCCCCATAAGGGGGTGTCCCACAGAGGTGGGCAGCCATGTGGCCCACACCACATGGCAAGGACATGGCCTGGCAGGAGACCTCCAAATAGAGTGTTTAACTTTGGGTAGGATCTCACTTTCTAAACATACCCTGACCACTTGCCCTGTTCCTCGGTGTACCGTGAGAAGAGGAAAGGAGAATATCTATCTGGCTATGTCATGGAGGTTTTTGCCTTTACCCCAGCAGCCATGTTGGCGAAAGAACTAAGGATGTCCCGTTCTAGCCCTGACCCCAACACTGGAAGACAAATTCTTTATAAAGAAGCAAGCACTTACGAGGTTCTTTATGTCAGTAGGGAACAAATAAACTGTAATAAAGTACCAGAGTAGCAAATGAAAGCAAGTTTATAGCACTGTGCATTTAGATAGCAAAATCAGGTCCTCAGCAACAAAAACGAAACCTCAGTTTCTGAGTCCCTGTGTAGATAGTCAGACTGTCCCTTTCTCAGCCATCTCAGCCTCTTTCCCAAGTGCCAAGGAGCCCTGGAGGACAGGCCTGGGATCTGTGTCCCCCATGTGAGTGCACCCGTTTGTCCACCTCCGGTGCACGTCCTCTGCCACCCAGACCACTCCCACGGTTACAAGCCAGCAAGGAGGACTCATGGACCCCAACCTGGTTTTAATCCTAACTACATTGTTTTAGGTTTCATGTTGGAAAACCAAATGGTGTGGTGTTTTTTGTTTTTTTTTGGGGGGGGGGTCCTAGATAGAAGCTTTGATGAAGGAAAGCGAACAGGACAAAAATGATAGGCCCAACCTAAAAATCACCGTAGAGTTGCCATTTCTTTATGTTTACTGTCAGTCTTGGTGTTTTCTTTATGAGTGAAATGGATGTCAAATCAAAGTAACTTTTTCAGGCTCCTCCCCTGAAAAATGTATGCACTTAAAAATGAAGTGAGACTGTATAATTCACAGATTTCCTTGTACAGATCAGGGGTTGGCAGATGATGACCCACACTCTAAATCTGGTCAGAGGCTTGGGTTTTTATAGCCATGAGATAGGAATGGATATGACGTTTAAGTAGTTCTATAAGTACAGGCACCATATTCTTGATTTTGCCTCTTGGCCCACAAAGCCTAAAATACCTAATACCTGACCTTTTAAGAAAAAGTTTGCTGACTCCTGGTATAGGGGACGATTAGAATGTTTGTTTCTACAGTCTAGGGAAAGTGAGTGTCAAGTTGTGGATAAAACTGGCATGCATGGGAACCCTGAGCCACGCGGAGAGAAGCACATGGCTCCTGCGTAGTCCGTGGCTCTTTGCCCCAACTGGAATGAGCCAATGGACGTGGGTAAAATTTACAAAAATATCTTTTCCTCACTATATGCAGATAGCTTTGGATAGATTTCTTTTTCAGCTCAGGAAACGAATGCCCTGCCCCTGTGCTACTCCACCAGATGCAAATATACACTCAACACAAGCAATAAAATCTCCCTCTCCTAGAAACCTTGGTATGACCACAAAGTAAGGTAGTAGATCCTATCTTAATTCGTACCAGCGAACTACTCAACTACTTCACTGATTTCAGTTACATCAAAATACCAAGACAAAATGAGCTCTAAAACTTACATTTTGGTCCACATTAGTGTGTAGTGAAACAAAAACGTTCTCACCTCCATTCCGTTTTAAATGTGTCATGGTCCACACGGATACTCGCGGGGTCTCGGCAGGAGCTGTGGTGCTGCACACGCTGTCCTGCTCGCGCATCCCAGCGGATCTCAGCAGGTGGTCACCGTAGCAAGTCCCCCGAAAGGTGCCTGTCCCACTGCCTCCCATGATCACTTTGTTAGTTTCAGTTCAGTTTGGAAAAAATACCAGGCAATCCTCTGGTTGCTTTTAGTAAGTAGGCAAAAGGTGAAAACGGCATAATTTTCATCAAACATTTTGTTGTTTTACCTAAAATGATTGTACATGTGGTTTGTGGACTGGACCCTTGTTTGTAACCGATCTTTCAGAGATGTTCCATGTAAGGACACAGGCGGTCACCTCGCCCCTCCTCAGACGTCTTCCCCACTTGGCACTCACCCCCCTTGTATGCAGTGTTAGCCATCTTTGGCCTATGTGGACTTTTTTGTAAATTACACTTTCCAGATGGCATTAAACTTTTTATATTACGAAATTTACCATGTAAAAAGAACTTCATATTTTTATTGAGATTGTTAAGGCACTTGGCCTTCCTTTGTGATTTCAGTGTCTATTAAAGCATGAGTTCCCTCGGTTTTAATTGCTGTATCTGAATCACTCTCTGTACGCGTCCCACACTTTCTAGGTTTCTTTGCAGTACACAGAACCGTCGTGTGTCGCTAACGAGCAGTGAGTCAATCTGGAGTCTCATGCGTACACCGTAGCCTCATGTTTGCCAGGAGGAGAACCCAAGAGAGTGCACAGCAGAGCCAACCTGCAGGCAGACTTCTGTGGCTCTGAGCCTCAGGGCACCTGGGGTGGGTGGTGAATTAGAAAACTGAATGCTTCTGATCTGTGATCATAGTTGGAGGACCAGAAAATTCCACAGTTGTGTAAGCGTGCTGACAAAACCAGAGTTCATTACCACCAAATCCCTGTAACTAAAGAAACTTCCAAGGAAAGTATTCCAGAAAGAAGGAAAACAATCCTCTGTGTAAAAGTCTGAGAGGCACGAAGGACTAGTGGACAAATAACTAAGTAAATGTGACTCTCTCTCTGTTAAATACATAAATAAAATCCTTAAAAAAAAAAACCAAATACTGATTGTATAAAAACTAACATCTCAGGGCGCCTGGGTGGCTCAGTCAGCTAAGCGTCTGACTTCAGCTCAGGTCATGGTCTCAGGGTCCTGGGATAGAGCCCACATCTGGCTCTGCGCTCAGTGGGGGGCCTGCTTCTCCCTTGCCCTCTGCCCCTCCCCCACCTGGGCTTTCTCTCAAATAAATCTTAAAAAAAAAAAACCTAACATCCCATTTGAGTAGCAATAAAAAATTAAAATACTGGACAATATGTAAAACAAGGAAGTTAAAGTGTTATAGGTTGTTTAGGAAGACAACAAAAAGATTATTTTTAGTGTAAGTTAAATACATCAAAACACAAATAGAAATAGTTATACCAAACTAGTTAGTGGAGGGAAAAAAAATAGTTTTTTTAAAAACTTGGTTGAGCTAAAGGAATAGAAAAAAGAGGGAATAGCAACAGAAACCATTTTTAAAAAGCAGGACAAATATAAAATAGTATGAAAGAAGATTACTAGTAATTATAAATGTAATTGAACGAACTAAACAAAAAGAATGATGATGATGGTAACATACCACATGCTCTTTAAAAAACGATATGCCTTTTTGTGGGGAGAAGAAAAATCAAACCTACCAAAGCATAAGGCCCAGTGGTTGACAACAAAAGGATCAACAAAATAGATAGTAAAAGGCACTAATAAAAACAAAGATCCATTTTCTAATGTTAAAAAACCTTAGCCGAAGGGCAAAATTCTAAATTTGTATGCAGCTAATCATACAGTTTC